GCTTCCTTGCCTTTTCCTGGCTTCTGTGGTTTGCAGCAGTCTTTGACATTCCCTGGTTTATAGATGCATCACTCCAACCCTCCTCCTTCACATGACATTCTCCCTGTGTCCACACTTATATGGCTGTGTTCATATGAGGACATAAGTTATACCCAGACTACTGCCTTATGACCTCATTTTAACTAATCATAACTGTAATAAACTTATTTCCAAAGTTAACATTTTGAGGTACTGCTGTTGCTTCTATTGGTTTATTTCCCCCCAATCTCCCTTACTTCAAAATGTGAGGTTACTGAGACAAAGGGGAAAACAATTTTCTAGCTCGTCAACTATGATGAAAGCCACAATATTTGGTGTTTTAATCAAAATGTCTGGCTCCAAATGTGCCCAAAAAGGTAATGGGCCTTTAAATCTTCCAACAATATTGATTATTTTAATACTTCTAATGCCGCAAAGTTAGATGTCTGCTCAGCTAGGATGCTCACACCAGACAGTGCAGAGGGGAGTGTTGGGAGCACCAGTTTTATTTGTTAAGTATTTGGAGACATTAATTTTATATAAAAACAAACATGATATATTATAGAATATGACAACAATGCATGAGTGAGACACTTGTGACAATCTCATACACGTTGATTTTTCCTTTTGTTAGTTTAACATATAAAAAATGTGCCTTTTTAATAAAAATATGCCTCCATGTTCTGAGGGCTGGTTCCTCCCTCAAACCTCGCCCTCAAGGGAAACGGCTTGGGGAGGACACAGCCATTGACTAAGTGACCCAGGACTCAGTGCCTCCATGCTCTAAAAGGCGCCATTTCCTCCCTCAAACCTCTTCTGTCCTTGACAGAAACTGTTTGGGGAGGACACAGCCATTGCCAAAGTGACCCCTGCATGACTGACTTCCTTCCAATTAGTTGAGCTTCTGTTGTGAAAGGTGTTACACCAGGGTTTTTATATAAATATTGTACATAACTACCTTGAGGGCTCACATTCTTTTCTTTTTTTTAATTTAATAAATCTTTATTGTTCAGATTATTATAATTGTTTCTCCTTTTTTCTCCCATAGCTCCCCTCCACTTAGTTCCCACCTCACCCTCTGTCCTTACTCCCCACCACTGTCTTTATCCATAGATGTATGATTTTTGTCCAGTCTCTTCCCGCACCCTCATCCCTTTTCCCCCTGAGAATTATGAGTCCACTCCCTTTCTATGCCTCTGATTCTATTATATTCACCAGTTTATTCTGTTCATCAGATTTTTAATTCACTTGGTTTTTAGGTTCACTTTTTGATAGATATGTATTTGTTGTTCCTAATTTTTATCTTTACTTTTTACTTCTTCCTCTTCTTAAAGAATACCTTTCAGCATTTCATATAATACTAGTTTGGTGGTGATGAACTCCTTTAGCTTTTTCTGATCTGTGAAACTCTTTAGCTGACCTTCAATTCTGAATGTCAGCTTGGCTGGGTAGAGTACTCTTGGTTGTAGGTTCTTGCTATTCATCACTTTGACTATTTCTTGCCACTCGCATCTGGCCTGCATAGTTTATGTTGAGAAATCAGCTGACAATCATATGGGTGATCTCTTGTAGGTAATAAACTGTTTTTCTCTTGGTGCTTTTAAGATTCTCTCTTTGTCTTTTGCCCTTGGCATTTTAATTATGATGTGTCTTGGTGTGGTCCTCTTTGGATTCCTTTTGTTTGGGGTTCTCTGTGCTTCCTGGGCTTGTAAGTCTATTTCTTTCACCAGGTGGGGGAAGTTTTCAGTCATTATTTCTTCAAATAGGTTTTTAGTATCTTGCTTTCTCTCTTTTTCTGGCACCCACATAATTCAGATGTTGGTATGCTTGAAGTTGTCCCAGAGGCTTCTTACACTATCTTCAAATTTTTGGATTATTTTTTCTTTTCTGGTTGAATGTTTTTTGCTTCTTTGTATTTCAAATCTTTGACTTGATTCTTGTGTTCCTCTAGTCTGCTGTTGGGTCTCTGTAAAATATTTGTTTTTATTTCAGTCAGTGTATGTTTAATTTCTAGTTGGTCCTTTTTCATATCCTCAAGGTTCTTGCTAAATTTACTGGCCTTTTCTAGGAAATTCTTGAAAAAAACCATATAACCATGGTTTTGAACTCTATATCCAGTCATTTGTTTTCCTCCATTTCTTTTGTTTGTGTTCTCGTCTCCGCATTTTTGCTGCTTCCGAGTTGGTAGGGTAGCTTTGTGTGCTAGGTGTCCTATATGGCCCAGTGGGTCAGCCTCCCCAGTTACCTGAGGTGGACACTCTTGGTGCACCCCTTTGTGGACTGTGTGTACAGCGTTGTTGTAGTTTAGTCTTGATTGTTGTTGATATTCCAGGCCAAACTGGCTGTGAGTATCAGCTGTATCTATGCCAGGAGACCTTTTGTGCTGAAGACAGCCTTATAGGACCAGACTTGCAAAATTGAAAAAAACCTCTGTACTCAGCTTGAATGGGGCGGAGCCTCAGGACTGAGGAAATAGTCTTGACTTCCCGTCAGTCCTGCCTTCTGGATCAGTGTCCCTTGGTAATCACTGCAAGCACCTCTGAGAGAAAGCCGCCCTCAAGTTTCGCCCACTGTCAGACAGTCCAGTTTCTCCCCCAATGAATCTGGATTCCCAGATTCTCACCTGGAACTGAAGTTTAGAGCATTCTGGTGCTTCCAGTTCCCTCCAGCTAGAGAAAGCCTGTGCACACTCAGCAGTCAGTCCTCTCTCTGAGCACTTGTGTGCATGCCTCCAGACCTCTGCCTTTTGTGGCTCCACTGAGTTTCCACCTGACAGTCCAGATTCCCCCATAAGAGCATGTGTCCCCAGGGGCTTGCCCGGAAATGGGTTCAGTGCAGTCAGGAGCTTCCAACTCACTCCTGGTAGGGAAAGCCAGAAGCACTCCCAGCAATCAGTCTTCACACGCGCGCCTCCAAACCCCTGCCTGCTGCGGCTCCCCCAAGTCTCTGTGTGCCTTTCTCTCTACCTGAGAGCCCAGTCTTCCCCTCTCTCCCCTCTCCCCCCCCGCCACCACCGTCCCCCCCGCGCCCCCCCCCCCCCATAAGAGCCTGGGTTCACAGGGTTTCACCTGCAGTCAGGAGTGCAGTCAGGAGCTTCCTTTTCCCTCCCACCAGAAAAAGCCAGCCAGGCACTCAGCCACCCTTGCTCTGCGTTTGTGTCTCCATACCTCAGCCCCTTGCAGCTCCTCTGGTTCTCCGTGAGCTTTTCTCTTTCCTTCTAGTTGTAGAATTTCCACTCCACCAGCTTTCCTGTGGTTCTGAATGATGTTCATTCTGTCTTTTAGTTGTAGTTTTGAAATTGTGCGAGGCAGCAGTTTAGGTTCTTACCTATGCCGCCATCTTGGTTTCCTCAAGGTTGGCATTCTTATTTATCTTTACATTCAGTTCAGCAACCAACACAGTGCCATTCTCCCTCTCAATGCCTGGTGCTGAGTGAACCCTGGCTCCTGGGACTCTCAGCTTATGTTACTAATTGGCACACACCCTGATCTGAGGTTAATTGGCAAAAGCCTCCCTGAGAGTCAGAGGACTGAAGAAACAAAACAGCTTAAGAATTTTTTTTTTTACAAAAGGAATTTAAAGCAACCAAAATGGAGGAGATGTTATTTAGAGTAATTTTAGAATACAGGTAAGTGGCGGTAGTGGAAAGAGGACATGATTAAATATAGTGAAAAATTTTTAACCTAAAATTTTGAAGAAAAAAACAAAAAACTCAAAAACTGAAGAAAAGTAAATAAATAACAAGTTTCCTGGCATCAGAAGGTGGTAGGATGGAAAGGGAACAAGGAGAAAAACAAAAAGAAAGTTCAAAGTTTAGACTTCTTGATAGCATCTGTAAGGAAAAAACTGTTTCTATGGCCCACAGACAGAACACACGGTGGACACAGGAGAAGACAGTGAGTTGGGAAGGGAAGTTGCTGGCTGGGACTGGGATGAACAATATATTAGATCCAGTCTGCCTCTCTTTTTCTCTCATAAATGAGCAAAACTGTCATGTCAGGGAGCCTGTAGAACCTGCCAGCATTATAGGCACAATGGCTCACTGGAGCTCATGGAGCAGGAAAGATTCCACTATCTATAATAATAAAAGTGTAATATGCTAATTAGACCAGACAACTGAACAATTTTCTGGACGTCCTTCTGGACAACCTTGCAGACAAAGCCACAGCTGTGAAGGCCGAGGTAAGCCACCATGGCTGCAAGAGCTGAGCTTCTTGCACAAATTTCGTGCATTAGGTCTCTACTCCTAATATATAAAAACCCTGAGTCCATCACATCCACAACAACCAACCAAAAGTCAGTCCTGCAGTCAGCACCGGGTTGCCATGGCAATCCAGTATGACTGTTACAGCTGCAGGCACCGTGACCCAGCACTGACTGCTAAGGGGGCTACAAATCAGGCCTGGAAAGAGGCAGGAAGAAAGAATCGGGGTCTTACCTGTAGCCTCTGTTGAAGCTGTTGATCAGGACTTGCCTCTTTCTTTCTGGCCCTGATCAGCAGCTACACCTCCATTTTTCTCCAGGCCTCCACTGGGGCTGCTGATCAGCCCCATCTTTCTAATCAGGACCCATTGATAGGCCAAGAGATGCTCACTGGCATAGAAACTGACCAATCAGAACCAAATCTGGGTGAACTGTGAGGAGCCGATGGCTGCCTAGGAGGCAGAGTTTTTGACACTGACTGGCATAGCAGATGAGTGGTTAGGAGCCAGTGGTCCCAGATTGTGAGAGGGATGTCCAACTGCCAGTTCAGGCTCCATCCCACAGGATTCCCTATTAGAGAAGGTACAGGCTGGGCTGAGGGATACCCTGCTCCAGCACGAATTTTGTGCACTGGGCCACTAGTATTTTAATAAGGCAGAAAGTAGGCTTACTTTCATCCCTCTTAACAAAACAAAACTTCTTAACCCACAAACTTGAAACTCCCCAAACAGATATTCACTGTGATATGAACCCTGCAACAGAAGACTTATCACACTTACTTGTTCCACGTAATAAAAGTTGCTCTCTGTGTTGAAATGCCAAGGCCAACAATTTGATTCATCTCTATTCCTGCAGCTGAAAATAAAGATGGATAAATCACATGTTTAAAAGTCAATGAAATTTTTCTTTATAAATTATAGTATGGAAAAATTATTGAGTATAATCTCTAGGAAAAACATCTAGGGTTAGCATTTTTTTTTCTTTTTATTGTTTCAATAATATTTTGTATTCATTACAGCATAACAGTTAGGCAATCATATACTTTACAAAGTGTACCCCTGATATTTCCAGTACCTAACTGGCATTTAAATTTTTTAAAAAAATTTTTTTTAGAGAAGGGAGAGAGAGAAACGTCAATTTGTGAGAGAAACATTGATTGGCTGCCTCCTGTATGAATCCCAACTAAGGATTGAACCTGCAATCAAAGCATGTGCCCTAACCAGGAATTGAACACTGAAACCTTTCAGTGTATGGCACAACATTCTAACCAACTGAGCCAACTACTCAGGGCCCTACATGTCATTATAAATAACACATTTGGCATTAATAAAGACAGTATTACTAAGATGATTCCTTTAAGGGAAAATGGCCGTATTCCAATAATAACAAAATGACCTTCATCTTTAAATGTTTGGGGGGAAAAAGACAAAAACTACTAAAAGTTAGATTATATTTTCTTCTTGATAATACTAAAATATTGGATCTCAATTTAAGAAATGATCAATCATAATAGAAGTTGGTAAGAGGCAATAAAGGAAAATCCCCAATGAAACTCAGTTCTTATATTCCACATGAATAGATGCTAGGATGTAAACAAGAACATAGTGGGGGAGGGGGTGTCCAAATTTCTTAAAATATAGCAAGTTTTTTGTGAAGTTTTTTTTAAAAAGCATTTATCCCATTGAGCAAATTAAAGACAACTTCAACTTGAGCAGAGAAAGACAAATCATCCTCTAAACAATACGCCTCTCAAAAATACTTAACCTGAACCATGTGGATGTAATCAGACAACTCCAAAATGCAAGTCTATTAAGCTGGTCTGTAAGTTTGAAAACTTGTCAATGCCACGAAGAACATGCTCTACAATAAAGGAGACTAAATTGATTGACAGCTAAATGCAATGCCTCATCTTAGATTAGATTCTGGATTGAAAACCAAAGTTATTTATGACTGAGGTAACAGGGAAATACTGAAGTTTAACAGGCATTAGAAAATAATACTGTTGTGGACTGAGAAGGAAGATACCCAATAAGAAGGGCTCCTGATGGCTAACTGGATTCAAATTTAAAACAACAGAACCTAGCAGCCATTTCTACATATGGCCCTCTCATGCAAACTGCACTTTAGGGAGAATCCTGCACTAAGCTGCCTGCCTGCACTGTGTTCCTGCCAGCTAACCAGGCTCCTTCTCAAGGAGTTCCTGGAATCCTACTTCAACCTATGGAACTAAGGCTTTCCCCATTCAATTGGAGCTGCACAACTATATCCCCATCAACAGCTTCACTGACCAATTGACCAATCAAAGCAGTTCCATTCTGACCAATCAGGTAAGTGCCTTTTGGACCAATCAAGCTGTGAAGATTTGGGGTCCTTATTTGCATGAAGACAGACCAATCCGCGACCAGGGGGCAGAAACATCTGTCTATATATCAGCTCCCCTCTGGCTCTGGGAGCCCACTTTCTTCCCTTTCCATCAAGGACTAAGAGCTGTGTTTCCACTGCTGAGCTGATACACTGAAGATGTCTCTAGAGCAGAGCGGAATAGTGCAGAAGAAAGCCGTCTAGCTCAGAGCAGAGCTGACTAGCCAGAAAGAAGCCTGGTACCAGGGCCACCTGGCCCAGGGCCACCTCACTCCCATGCTGTTTTCACAGCCCTGCTGTATTGCAATTGCGCTATTTTGCACTAAATAAAGTTTCCTTCCTACAGTACCCCAAAATGGGGATTCCTGTTGGTGTCAAATTGGTGTAACTGTCCATCAGTTGATACCATATTAATGTTAAATTTCCTGGCTGTGTTGATATAGGAGAATACTACTTTTTTTTTTTGGAAATAATGCTGAAGCATTTAGGGATAAGGTTAAGGCACAACCAACCCTCAAATGAATCAGCTAAAAAGATTGTAGAGGATAAATACAGTAAACATTGCAAAAAATGTCTGAATCTCTACAGGTGTCCAGTGTACTATTTGGGCAAAATTTTTAAGTTTTGAAATATTTCAAAACAAAAATGTGAAAAGTAATTCAGCCAGAAAAATTAAGTAAAAGACCTTTCTGGATTTACATTTACAAGTCATATTTCATATGTTCTTTTTAAGAGTGGCACTGAAAACATTCTTAAAGAACTAAGATTTTGGACCATGGCAGCAGCCAGGAAAGCACTTTGAATGGAGAGGCCACACAGAAAAATCAAAACATATTTTATAATAAAGGTTACTCAGTGTAACTCCTGATAGCAGGAACTGTGTGTTATAATTTTGTTTATAACCCTCTGGCATTTTTTACACAACAGGAAATCAAATAGGCACCAGCTGCAACTGGAATAAAGATGGAATGTGAGCCTTTAAACTATGGCTGAGAAAACTTAAACCAGAGGGCAGAGTTGCTGTTTCCATTCCTTGAAAAAGCAGTTCACTATAAACTGCAATGTCTTCTAAAAAATACTGGGAAAGTGCCATGAAAAAAAACACACAGCAGAATGGAGTTGGTATTGTCAAGAGAGCAATCTAAAATAGAGCCAGAAGGCTTCCAGGAAGCTAAGCTAGCTCACACTCACCAGGTGAAACTGAACTTTTGAGCTGAGGTAACCCAAAGGCTACATCCTGGCTTTACATCACTGAACTCCCTGTTAAAAAAATAAACTTTTCGGAGATCCAAGATGGCTGCTACGTAGTTTGAGAGTGAGAGAATGAAAGGGAGTGCATGGATGTGCAGGGAGTGTCAGTATTTGTGTGTGAGGGACGCTCCAAGGAACTGTGCAGACTGGTGGACCAGCCCCCTGTGACCGGGCAGCCTCTATTGCGGCTGAAATCTCGCCTGGGCCCGCCAGCTCTGTCGCAGAGGCCACACCATCTTGAAGGAGGCGGCTGTGATAGGAGACTGTCTGTGATTGGAACTCCAGCCTTACCTTCAAACAGGAGACCTTGGAGGCCACCCAGGGAACTTACAGCCACCACACCCAGGGACCAGTTACCTCAGCTCCAAATCCACAAATACGGGAACTCCAACCTCCCTGAGCATGGGCACCTGGGAGGTCTGCTCAGGGGAAAACACCAGCAAATTCACAGAGCAGAAGGAACAGCTGAATTAAAAGCACCCACCGGGAACTGGAGAATTAAACACAGCAGGCACTGCCTAAAGAAAGGTAAGATTTGGAATCCAGACTAGAGGGAGAAAACGCAGTGGGAACAAGAGCCTCAAAGAAAGACTGCCCCCACAAAATTCTCAACTGTTGGGATCAGTGTAGCCCTCGAATGAGGAAGGGGGTCCACAAGGCTGCTGGCAGAAGGGGATTCTAGATATTAACCCACAGCTGGACTGGACCCAGAAAGGCAGCCTGAAGTACTGTACCGGCTGCACAGAGTTGCATACAGAGTCACACAGAGATTTGCATACAGAGCCAGAGTAGAGAGGCCTTTTAGACCAGGATATTAAGACAGACACACTGTCACCCCGTGGCTGCAGCACAAATGGATTGGTGTGTAACTACAACTAAAAACAGACTGAGAACCAAAGAGAGCAGAGAGAGATCCTGCCTGCTTGAAAATAAGGTTGCTGCTTACACCACCAGGGAATTTCAATACTGTGCTGACTACCTGCAAGAAAAAAAAATATGCCAAGCAGAACAGTGGAGGAAGTGAACGACCTTCACTACTTCACATTTTTATTTTATTATTTTATTTATTTTTTAATATATTTTATTGATTTTTTACAGAGAGAAAGAGAGGGATAGAGAGTTAGAAACATCGATGAGAGAGAATCATCGAACAGCTGCCTCTTGCACATCCCCTTCTGGAGATGTGCCCGCAACCAAGGTACATGCCCTTGAACAGAATCCAGGACCTTTCAGGACCTTTCAGTCCGCAGGCCAACGCTCTATGCACTGAGCCAAACCGGTTTTGGCACATTTTTATTTTTTATCTTTTACTTAAGAAACTAAATTTGACTCACTCTATTTTACCTTATTTTTTTATTTATTTTTTTTAACTATAGTATTAATACTATTATTTTACCCTTTTTAAAAAAGGTTCTTTGTTATTTTATTTTATTTTATTTTATTTTATTTTATTTTGGGACTAGTGTTATATATTCTATTTTGATTTTCCCTTTAGCATTATTTTAGTCTATCTCAATTTTTCTTTTATGCCAATACTCTCTTCATCACTTTTCCCCTTTTTATCTTGTTTCTCTTACCCTGTTCCTGCTTTAGTTTTTCTCTACCCTTTTTTTTTACTCCATTAAAAAATTGATCTTACTCATACATCTAATTTCTTCTCCCCTGCTCCAAACCCATACACACTTCTCTCTTCACTTTCTTCACTAACCAAATTCTTTTTTTTCTTCCTCTTCTTTTTTTTTTTTTTTTTTTTTTTTTTTTGCCTTTTTCTTTGTCTTGTTGTTGTTTGATTATTGGATACTTTTATTTTCTGTGGGGCTTTTTAATTTTATTTTGTTTTTCCTCTCCTCTCTTATTCTCTTCTTCTAATAGCTTAATTCCAATCACCAATTTAGGTCTAGCTATTCTCTATCTTCCTTTTCCAATAGTAAACAAATACACAGATAGATAGACTAAAGGAGGAAAATTATGTATATATATTTTTTCATATATATATATAAAAATATGTATACATAATTGTATATATTATGTATATATATAATTTGTTAGTATTCCTCTTTTACACCCATTCTCTTTCTACTTCCTCTATATGAATTGTGACTATTTCCTCATGCAATTCCTTGACCTTACGTCCTGGAAATAAGTTCTGCCTCCTCAGACTCATCTGGGAGTTTGTTGTTTGTATTTTTTAGATTAGCTATTCTTTATAGTTTGCATTTATCTCTGGGTGTTTGTTGTTTGCA